ACACCCTGCACCATGGGTGTGGCAGAGGGTGTGGTGCAGGACAGATTCTGCCACACCCTGCACCGTGGGTGTGGCAGAGGGTGTGGTGCAGGACAGATTCTACCACACCCATGGCAGACACCACACCAGGGTGTGGTGGAGTCTGTTTTGGGTTATTCTTCACGTTCCCAAACGTCGGTATCTACTCACCAAATCGGCTGCATCAAAACTGACTGCCTACGTATCCTCTTGCCCAGGGAATCAAGCCTTCACGTAGTTCACCCAAACGGCCTCCAAAGGCCATCAAACAAATAGAAAAGTCTGCAACTCTTCCCCAATATCGCCAACGGATCTGCAACTAATAGCGGCCCCAAACTGATACAAATCAAACACCTCCATCTGAGGTGAACCAATGGACGTATCCAAATCATGTCCACCAGCTGCAACCGAATCCAAAACCAATCCATCATCTGCATCCGAAATCAAATGATCCCCAACCTGTGTCACCTCAGCTGGAATCCCAAATGACGCAGTATGATCTGGAGTATGTGGAATAAGTTCCACCCAACATGAAGTAGCATCACCTGCTGCGATATCCAAATGACCTGATCAACACTCTCCACCTGCCGAGAGTCAAAAGTGACATACCTGCTCAGAACAAAATCAGAAGCTCCCAAACGATAATCAACTGAGCCTCCGAACCCCAAACGCGCAATCGGATCAAATCTCACATCCTCGATGTGACCAAATGCTGGGTATCCAAATATCCGACGCAACCCAAAATCTGAAGCAGCTCCACCAGATCCAATAACTCCTAATGCAGCAGTCGGCGACCTGTGACTAAGATGACCCAAATATGTCGAAGCTCCAGAACCAATGCTCGACAACCAACGCCGATCCTCCTCCAGAAAGGAACGACTCATCGAAACCGTCATCTCATCTCGTCGCCCCAAAGTCTCCACACCAATGAAGTGTCTCCTATTGTCGTGAGCTCGGCACAAACGCAAGAAAGGACCCTTATCAAATCTAGAACAACGAGTTACCTTTCTGCCAATACACTTCTTCCAATTGTTGTTGACTTCTAGGACTTTACACCAACGGGAACTGGTCGCGACCCAATAATGCCTAGAATAATCATCAACTGCGGAAACTAAGATACGATTACCTCCCAATGATGCCTCCTTGGAAGGCCCCCAAATGCCTGACTGAACACCTCCAAAAAGACCCCTCGCTCGATGGATAGAAGTGCCAAACTCCACCACGGTCTCGCTCATCCTAATGTGCTCACAGGACTTCAATCTGCAGGTCATAGCACTCCTCAACAACCAATGCACGGCATTACCAATCATATACCCCAGCACCAAACAATGCCACAGTCTAGCCGAATCTGATGAAGTCGTCATTTCCCTATCAATCACCGTGCTTCCGTGCAAATAATACAAATTTCTTCTTCTGACGCCCTTCATCACAATCATGGACCCAAATGTAACCTTCAAGCGTGCATCCGTCAAGGTCACCCTATAGCCTGCTGCCTCCAAAGCTCCAAGTGAAATAATGTTCTTCTTCAACTGAGGAACGAACCTCACTCCAACCAACTCCCGAATCACCCGTCACTCATCCTGATCCGAACGGTACCGATACTACCAATAGAGCATTTGTGATCATTCCCCATGAGCACGAAATCCCCTCTTTCCAACTCCTAAAAGCTGGAGAACCAATACCTCCTAGAGCAAATGTGGTATGTAGCCCCCGAATCCAACATCCACTCTGTAGAGTAGACAACACAAACTGACGGCAGTACAGATAATGAGTAGCCCGAAGAATCCGAATCTGAATCGTTGCCACTAGCCTTGACAACATTCGCCTCTGAAGCTTGAATAGCTTTTCCCTTATTCTTCCCGGCTCGATCAACTAACTTTGGGCAATCGGCTTTCCAATGTCCATCTTCTTTGCAAAAGGCACATTGATTCTTACGAACTCCAAGATGTGCCCCTCTAGACTGCGACCTCCCACTACGGTTTGGACCCTTTGCTCTTGCGACCAACGCCCCCGCTACCGGCTCAAACGAAGTCTCCTTATCCTTCTTTCGAAGCTGATAATTCACAAGTGCAGCGGTGACCTCACTATACGAAAGAGATGCCTTCCCATTAATAAGAGTAAGAACGAAGGTCTCATATTCCTCGTCAGGCAAGGAACTCAATAGCAACAACGCCTTGTCCTCATCTTCAATCTTAACATCCACATTCGCCAAATCCGCAAGAAGCTTCGTGTAGTGGTTCATGTGATCACCAATGGAGGTTCCTTTCTTCAACTGGAAGCGGTAAAGCCTCCTCTTCAAATGCAAGCGATTCTCCATACTCTTGGTCAAATACTTGCTCTCAAGGATCTCCCAAATCTTCTTTGCAGAAGTCTCATTGATCACATCATACTTTAGATCTTGAGTGAGACAAGACCTAATCACACCACACGCCGTTCGATTCATCTTTTTCCAAACCTTCTCATCAATATTGTCCGGTTTCCCGTCCAACTCTAATGTATCTTCCAAATTTTGCGCGTTGAGCGCATCCACGACTTCGCATCGCCAAAGTCCAAAATTGTTTGTGCCATTGAACTTTTCCACGTCAATCTTCATCGAGTGGATATTCAAGCTTTGGACGGTCTTCACGCCGGAAGTACTGCCCACAACTCCTTCTTTCTCGGCCATAATCCTCAAGGCACCACCAAACCAATGCGGAAACAAACGAGAAATAGATCCAAACTGAAAAAGACGAGATTTTTACAAAAAAAGATCCCACCTTTATCACCAAACGAAGCCCTAGATGAACTTCCAAAGCGATCTACTCCTCCAAATAGCCCAAGCGTTGCCCGTGCTCTGATACCACTTGTTGTGACTGATGCTTTGAGAAACCAAACCAACGAACGCCGAGAGAAAGACCAAACAAAACACAAACACCAAGGTTTTACGTGGTTCGGCAAATTGCCTACGTCCACGGGGCAAGAAGGGGGTGGGTTTTCACTAATAGAGAAGGAGAGTACAAGCAGAGGGTGTGGTGCAGGACAAATTCTACCACACCCATGGCAGACACCACACCAGGGTGTGGTGGAGTTTGTTTTGGGTTATTCTTCACGTTTTTCACAATTCCTTCGCCGTTTTCACATACTTTAATTATGTTAATTAGTGTACCTAAAGTTGCACGGCAATTATTAAGGGGTGATTAGTTAATAAAAAATTATTTGATTAGTATCTTAATTATGTGCAACTTGATCGAGACAATTACGAGTGGAGCTACTTGATGTTTAGAGGATAATACTAAGGAGTGACTTGTCCAAAGAATTTTGGTCTAATTTTTTTAGAGTATGCGTGTACTTGCATACGCGTGTGCTGATGTAAGGAAAGTACAAATATGGATTTCAAGCTCTTGTTGGCATTCGTATCATACGTATTATGTATACGTGAAATGAATTTTAGGAGAAAAGGAAGTAATTAAAGAATCATGGGATAGGATGTACTTCTCCTTTGGGAAACTTAATTAATAATTAGAGTAAATGAATGGCCTGAGATATTACTTTCACTTTATACATGTTATTCCTATATTATTATGATAATTCATTTCTTGTATGTTGTATAGTATTACGGAAGACTCTTTATCTTTAGGCTAAAAGATCATAATCAAAGAGGTTGATGACAATACATAAAACAATAATCCTCAGAAAGAGATTCATAAGAAAATGCTCACTTATTTTGGTAATACATGTCATGGTTTTCTCATAAATCGTTAATGATCTAGAATTATTGAATGTCATACGATTCGCAATATACGCAACGCAAATAAATTTTTTATTGTGACCCATGAAATAACACTAGCATCCAAATCAAATACACCCTACATCACACATTAGTAGCAACAGATTCAGATCGAATTTTTTCTTAGTGGTGTTCCCACATAACTCATTGGCTCATTAGAAGTAAAATCATTGACAAATTTAAAATTTCATCCTCTTTAATGGTATCCTGTCTTAATTCTAGAGATATAATTATTAATTAAATACAAGAAAAAGTAAATAAAAATATGTCGAAAGTGTTCAATTTTAGTGATATCATGTGACAGTACTGTATTTTATGTAACTGTGTGAATGCTGTTGAAAGCTATGCTATAACATATGATACTCATTTATATGTATAATTCCCTAGCTAAACCTTAGGCTTCCAAAGAAAGATGCTTCTTCTTTTAGCCAGTTGTTGCGCATAGAGTTGAGTCATGCTCACTTTCCACCGTACTCCCCATCGTGCGGCTCTGTTCTGTCTGAATTGGCCAATGCGAGTGGGTAGAAACGGTTGAGGGTTGGTTGGACTCTGGATAAGCATATCCTACACTATGCGACAATATACTCAAATCCCATACCAAATGACCTCCAAACCCTCCAAATTTTACTAAACAACCACTTAAACGCATGATTGTAAGTGGGCCTGTTCGGGTCGGATGATCCAAAGTATAGCTTGAGGTCTATGTTTTTAAATCAAAATTTGAGGTGGCGATGCAAAACCATACGTGTATGTGTCTATATTTGTATTTGCATCTGTATTCAGTAGGATACTGACACTAAAATATATATATAAAACATGATATCAATACGTAGAGGAATATATATCGTTATGCATGTCCAACCAGATTGTTCTGATGTGGTATCAAAAGCCTTTGCCACCGTACCAAATCCAACATTAGGAGTGAGCATTGAGCGGCTTCAATTTCTTACTCTACCAGCTCGTATTATGAATTATAAAAGACTCCAATCTATATAACTGTGAATGTGAATCAATTTATGGATCTATAGACGATCCGGATCCGCTTAGACCCCTACTAATCGATCACACGCCAGTCTCAATGACCATATTAGTCATTTCCACAAATCCCCTTTTTTTAAACAACGGTCCCTTACTAATACCATCTTTTTCAAAGGAGTTGATGAGATTTAAAAAGGATCTAGAAGGGGAGTCACTATTAGAGGCCAGGGACATTACCCTCCAAATATCTAATCATAGTCTTTAATGTTCTACTAATTGCTTCTACCCTTCTTCCTCCTCCTTCTTCTTCTATCCAAACCTAGGATTAAACATTGCATGGTTTTTGCATTTTGCTTGCAATGGAGGAGAGTCTTCCTCCTGGTTTTAGATTCCATCCTACTGATGAAGAGCTTATCACTTACTACTTAACTAGAAAGGTGCTTGATTTTGGGTTTGTTGCCAAGGCCATTACTGATGTTGATCTGAACAAGTGTGAACCTTGGGATCTCCCAGGTAAGTTTTTGTTTATCCCGAGAATTACTAGTTTGAGATCTTTATGGATGCTGTCTTTGTTTGTCTATCTTTTTTTTAACCCTCTTCAAGAGCCTAGTATTTAGCTTGTATTGTGCCTGAAACAAAAAAAAAAAAAAAATTGTCCAATGTATAATTTGTAATAGTATTATGACACTTTTCACTGATCGGATGCTCTTCTACTACCCTTTATCGTTTAGTGGATGATTATGATTCCCAGAGAGAAATGATTAACTAGGGACAGAAGTATAAATTTATCAGAACACCCGATATGTGAGCGAGATGGTCTGAGCCATACATAAAGGGTAAAATGGGTAGCTTGTAGATTTCAATGTCCCTTTAATGATTCATAATATTATATTCCGGCCGTATGTAATGTTCTTTTTAGTAATTACGAGAATATAGCAAGTGTTAGATTTGAATGAATTATCACATGTCTAATATTGGTAGGCCTTATTTTTGAAGAAATGGACTATTTGATTATTAAATTGCAGTGTAAAGGAAGCACAATTGATTATAGAAATTTTATTAAATAATTCTCTTATGTTTTGAAACTCATTATTGTTTTTCAGTGGTCTTCAAATTCATTTCTTAAAACCCCACTATGAAAATCATTTTCAGAAAAAATATCAATATTCATACCCACGCGATAGATGCCTTCCTTGAGTTTAACATTTGCAGCGCATCCATTTTGTTGGAATTGTATAGGAAAAGCAAGCATGGGAGAAAAAGAATGGTACTTCTTCAGCTTGAGGGATCGGAAATACCCGACAGGTCTGCGAACCAACCGGGCAACAGATTCCGGCTACTGGAAGACCACCGGCAAAGACAAGGAGATCTTCCATTGTGGTGTTTTGGTAGGGATGAAGAAGACCCTTGTGTTCTACAGGGGTAGAGCTCCAAAGGGTGAGAAGACTAATTGGGTGATGCATGAGTATAGGCTCCAGACAAAGTTCCCCTACAAACCCTCAAAGGTATGAGAAGGAACTCTTTTATAACAAATTTGTATCACTTTAAGGAAAGAACTTGTATGAAGAAGTATATCTTGTTTTACTAAACGAGCTATCAAAAGAGAGATCAATAGTGAAGCGTAGTCGCTCGTACCTCTGGATAGTCATTTTGCTAAATGAGGCAACTCCTCATATTCTGAGCCCACTTGGATACTAATTTTGTATGACCAAGTGTTTTAGGTAAACAATGTATAGAATGTTGGGCACCGTGTGGAAGCGTGCTCCACAACAAAACGAGTCGGTGAGCGATGAGAAAAGAAACTCAAACCAAATCACGAGTGCAATCTACCAAATATGACACAAATCAAACCAAACAAAGTGATTTACGTGGTTCGACAAAGAAAAAAATAAGGAATTTGCCTTGATTCCCCCATGGGTTTCATTCTCTTTATATAGACAATTTGTACATGGTAGGGATTACAACAGATCCTAACAATCAGATCCTATATAACAGGCCAATCCCTACAATCAAGCTATGCCATGATTTACATGCCTATAGGATTGCTAACTACCTTGTTTACAATCCCTACAATCAAGCTATACATGCCTATAGGATCACTGACTACCTTGTTTACATTCCCCCTCAATCTTAACCATGACAAGGTTCAGATTGTGTCGTAGGCGATCAAGCATGTAGCGAGTGGCTGGCTTGGTGAATCCATCCGCTACCTGATCATTGGAAGATACAAATCGGACGTCAAGAGTGCCCAATGCAACCTTCTCCCTGACAAAATGGAAATCCACCTCTATGTGCTTCGTTCGTGCATGAAACACTGGATTAGCTGTTAAATAGGTAGCTCCAAGGTTATCACACCATAATACTGGTGGTCGCAGCTGACATACATCCAATTCTTTCAGCAAGGATTGTACCCACGTTGCTTCAGCTGTCCCATTAGCCAAGGCCTTGTACTCAGCTTCAGTGCTGGACTGGGATACTGTGGGTTGCTTGCGTGAGCTCCATGAAATCAGGTTGGGACCTAGAAATACTGCAAAACCTCCAGTAGACCTGCGATCATCCATGCAGCCAGCCCAATCGGCATCTGTAAACACACTCAGAAGTGTAGAGTTGGAGCGCCGGAGGTAAAGTCCCGTAGCAGCTGTTCCCTTGACATATCTTAAGATACGTTTGACTGCCTCCCAATGTACATCAGTGGGCTTGGAAAGATATTGACATACCTTATTAACGGCAAAAGAAATATCTGGCCTTGTTAATGTAAGATATTGCAAACCTCCTACCATGCTTCGATATTTGAAAGCATCATCATCATCCAGCACTGTTCCACAATCACGAGCAAGCTTATCTGTGACAGACATGGGGGTTGAAACGCTCTTACAATTCTCCATGTGAGCTCGGTGAAGAAGGTCAGAAGCATATTTGTGCTGCATCAAGGTGATTCCCCCTGAATTGTAGACGACTTCAATCCCTAGAAAATAGTGCAGCTGTCCAAGATCTTTGATCGGAAATGAGGAAGACAGGGCGCGCAGCAACTGATCAACTGCTGATTGAGAAGAGCCAGCAACCACGATGTCATCCACGTACACAAGCATGTAGATAGTGACGCCCCCATGATGAAACAGGAAAAGAGAGGTGTCGGCCTTGGAAGACTGAAAACCAAGCTGGAATAATCTGTCGCTAAGTCGTGAAAACCAGGCACGAGGCGACTGTTTTAGGCCGTAGAGCGCCTTTTGGAGTTTGCACACATAATGAGGCCGACGGGAATCCTCGAAGCCAGGGGGTTGCTGCATATAAACTTCCTCATCCAAGAAGCCATGAAGAAAAGCGTTGCTTACATCAATCTGTCGGAGTTGCCATCCTCGTGACAAAGCTAGGGCAAGAATCAAGCGAACCGTTGCAGGCTTCACAACCGGACTGAAAGTATCCTGATAGTCAACGCCATATCGCTGAGTAAAACCTCGTGCAACTAGCCTCGCCTTGTGCTTATCAATAGAGCCATCCGGGTGCTGCTTAAGTTTGAACACCCATTTACATCCGACTATATTAACACCAGCCGGTCGGGGAACGAGAGCCCACGTGTTGTTCTTCTGAAGTGCTTCAAACTCGGCTCCCATGGTAGTGCGCCAAACAGGCTCAGCGAGAGCCAGTCGATGTGAGGTGGGCTCGGCGAAGAAAGCATGTCTGTTCGAATCATACCGAACTGTTCCGTCGGTGAGCTGCTTGGGAAACGATTTTCCGGCACGACCACGTGTAGTGACACCATGTGGAGACTGAACAGGATCAGTTGGGACAGCAACATCGCCCGCAACAGCAGGCATGGGCACAAGGTTGCCGGGTTCTTGGGCCAGTTGAGGCCCAGGTGCAGGAGGTGGTGCAGCATCGACGCGAGGCGGAGGCAGCGAAGATTCTGGACCGGGAGGCGGTGTAGCAGGTCCAGGTGTAACAGGCCCAAGACTGCATGTGCCCGGGACGTGAATCATGCATGGCCCTGGGACGCCGATCACAGGCGCGGGTATGAGCGCCGGTGGTGGTGGAGCGGGACGCCGATCACAGGCGCGGGTATGAGCGCCGGTGGTGGTGGAGCTGCAGCTGCATTTGAGGTGTTATACAACAAGAGAGATAAGTCATAATTTTGCATATGATCATTCACAATTACCGGTTCAGACTGAGGAAAGGAAACAGCACTGGACAAAGAAGATGGTGTGACTGAACAAGATGAGGTAGCAAACGGAAAACGTGATTCATCAAAGATCACATCACGTGATATGTAGATCCGTCCAGTACTTTTGTCCAAGCACTTATACCCCTTGTGCAAGGAACTATACCCTAAGAAGACGCATAGTTTGGATCGGAAGTCAAGCTTATGAGAGTTATATTTGCGAAGACTTGGCCAGCATGCGCAGCCAAAAATGCGAAGAAAGGAGTAATCAGGTGTTACGTTGAGGAGGCGTGTGATGGGTGTAGAGTTGTTTAGAGTACGACTGGGCATGCGATTGATGAGATAACAAGCTGTTAAGAAAGCCTCATCCCAAAACCGAAGAGGAAGGGAGGAGTGCGCAAGGAGGGCTAAGCCTGTTTCAACGATGTGACGATGCTTTCGCTCGGCCACTCCGTTTTGTTGTGATGTATGTGGGCACAAAACACGGTGCAAAATACCTGAACTCTGGAAATATTTATTAAGCCGATGATACTCACCACCCCAATCAGATTGAACAGTGCGAATTTTGGAATTCAAAAGTCGCTCAACATGTTTTTGGAAATTATAAAAGATTTGTTCAACATCAGATTTATTCTTAATAAGATAGATCCAAGTATAACGACTGTAATCATCCACAAAACTTACATAATACTTAAAACCTCCAGTAGATGCTTGAGTTGGCCCCCAAACATCAGAGTGAATAAGCTCAAGTGGAGATGTGGTGACACGAACAGAATTATTATAGGGGAGTTGATGACTCTTTGCACGCTGACATGCATCACACACAGAGGACTCATAATCAAAAGAACAGTCTAATTTATTTAACTTCAAGATGGACCTAACAATTGTGGAAGTAGGATGACCAAGACGCTGATGCCATTGCGATGACGACACCTTGACACTGGACGATGCATGATGGGAAGTGGTGGAGGAGGAGCAGCTGGACGGCACTGGATAGAGACCTCCTCTGCTCCTACCGCGTAGAAGTGTTTTCTTCGTGGCCTTGTCCTTAACAAAGAAAGCATCAGCGTGAAATTCAATGAAGACATTATTATCAGAAACAAGTTTATGAATAGAGAGGAGATGCTTATTGATATGAGGAACATGAAGGATATTTTTAAGAGCAAGAGGACGATCTAAACCGGAAATTGTAGAATGACCAATATGGGAAATATGCAAACCTGCTCCGTTGGCCACTTGCACCTGATCCTTGCCATGGTAGCGCTCCTGGATGGACAGCCGATCGAGATCACTCGTAAGATGATCCGTAGCACCAGTATCAATATACCAGTTTGTGTCACCGTTGTAGCCTCCCGTGGTCGCACTGTTTCCACCACGATATTCATCTGGCTGATAGGAGTGATTGAACCTGTTGCGACAGTTCAACGCAATGTGGCCTGGGATGCCACACACTTGGCAGCGAGGGCCACCATTGTTCCTGCCACGGCCGCGGCCTCGTCGCCACCCCCCCCCGCCGTTGCGGTAGTTATTCCTATGGTTGTTGTTGGTGGTGGTGTAGCCGTTGTTGCTGTTGTTGCGACGAGGAGCGTTGGATTCCTGGCGCGTGACGTTGTTGGCGGATGACATGGACTCCGCTGTGCCGCTCATCAGCGTGGCTTGGGTCTCATGAGAAATCAGATAGGAGTAGAACTCCGGAAGAGTCACCGCACGCTGATTGCTCAGCACAGTGATGGCGGTGAAGAGATCACTATGGCCCGGCCCCAGACCGGCGAGTATGTAGCCGATCACCTCTTCATCGGACATGGGACGTCCAATGTGCGCCATAGTATCAGCGAGTCCCGTCATCTTCTGATAATACTCTGCTGCGCTCATGTTGCCCTTTCTCGTGTTCGAGAGCTGCGCGCGGATCTGGATTGAGTTCCCGCGGTGCTGAGCAGAGAACATGGTGTGGAGTGATGCCCACAACTGGCCGGACGTGTCGATCTGACGGATGAGTTGAGGCAGAACGTCCTCTGTCATTGAGGACAGGAGGCCACCAAGAATGGCCTGATCCTGGACGATCCAGGTAGCACGGGCAGGATTCAAGACCTGCCTTGCATCGGTGTCGGTTCCCTCAGTCACCATGGCGACGGGCATCGGTGTAGTGCCATCAAGGTATCCAAAGAGCTGGACACCCCGTAAGATGGGAACGACTTGCGCCTTCCAAAGCAAGAAATTGGTGCGCGTTAGTTTGCAAGTGATAGCAGTAGCGATGGTGGAAGACTTGATGAAAGAAGACATGGTAGAGTCGCTCGGGGAGGAAGCCAGGATGCCGGAGATTTGTGAGGCGCTGGAACCCGTCATGGTGATGGAGAGGGTAGATTGGATTGGCTCTGATACCAAGAAAAATAGGGAATTTGCCTTGATTCCCCCGTGGGTTTCATTCTCTTTATATAGACAATTTGTACAAGGTAGGGATTACAACAAATCCTAACAATATCCTAACAATCAGATCCTATATAACAGGCCAATCCCTACAATCAAGCTATGCCATGATTTACATGCCTATAGGATTGCTAACTACCTTGTTTACAATCCCTACAATCAAGCTATACATGCCTATAGGATCGCTGACTACCTTGTTTACAGGCAATTGTCTACGTCCACGGGGAGAGGATGGGGAGATTTTACTATATGGAGAAGAAATACAACGAGTTACAACTTACAAAATCACTCAAAATATAACCCTAACCAAAGCTCTCAACTCCCTCACAATATCTCCCTCTCAAAGTGCTCAAAACAATGCTAATTCTCTCCTTAAGAAACCCTAAAAAACGTGATTCTATTTATAACAAAACACAATCTCAAACAGATTGGGATTCTAAAAAACGAGTTTGACACATCCTGGTGTGGTAACATACCACACCCCTGAAAAGCATGACAGATTCTGCCACACCAGGGTGTGGCAGACACCACCAGGGTGTGGTGGAGCCTGTCTTGCTTATTCTTCACATTTTTCTTAATTCCTTCGCCATTTTCACATATAATAAATATAACACTTTCCCACACATGCATCAATATGTGTAGCTTTTCTATTTTGAATCGTTTAAAGGGATTTCATAGGAAGATGAGTGAAAAAGTAGCATAAAGTTTTAAAAATTTTGTTGGTTTAGTTACGTAATTAAGGATGCACCTATTTATCGAAAATAAAAAAGGAAAACCAATATTTACTAGAAACTCTTTTTCATGACTCTTTTCACTAAAGTAATAATAATTTGACAATTGATCCATTGATTTAACTGTTGCTTTATTATTGTTGTTACCGTTTCTCAGGCAGTGCTAGCTACTAGCTTCCGATTGGATGAACGGAATAGAATAAATAATCATTCATCTATATATACGCCAATGATCAGTATACAACATACTACAACTCTTTTATTATTTGACTCTACTAGCATCAATCCAATTTTCTATATTTTCTTCATATGTTTGTACACTTGTGGATGTATTGTGCAAGTAAAAAATGGTCCATATATAACACATTAATCTCACATGATACACAGGATGAATGGGTGGTATGCAGAGTCTTCAAGAAGAGCTCAACCGGAAAGAAACCCCTCCCAAACTCCTCCTCCCTCCCTATATCCCCCCTCTCCTCCCCCTGCAACGCTGCCTCTGTCACTGAGCTAGGCGAGCTCGACGCTTCGTCAATCCTCAACGGCATCGTCAACCCCTCAGTCTCCTTCAACTCAATGCAAACTAACGAAAGCATTATCACCAGTCATAACAACATCACCAACAGGATGGATATGAATTCAAACATGAATATGAATATGAACATGTATATGAACTGGATGCTGGGCTCGAGCCTGAACTCGTTCGTCGTAGGGCAAGGAGATAATCATCCTCATCAGATGAATAGCTTTCATGGGTCGTCATCGAAAGGCGCAGATGAATTGCAGCAAAATGAGCATGAGCAGATGTGGAGAGGGTTTTGAGGTTGAGAAGATGGGTAGAAGATCGACCATAATCATTGCTGTTCCTACAATTGGTATTGAGTAGGGAAGTTCAAGTGTATAAAATTTTATGTAAGAAAATTTATGTATGTGTCAAGGAAAATATGTATGTGGGATTTATGTAACATGTATTATGAATTTCAAATTAATAACATAGTTGTACGTTCATTATATGCTAAGGAAAATGATCAGGCTAAGCGTGGGTCGACAAGATATTAGGTTGTAACGGTAAAATTGCACGTACAATAGCATGCATTTC